TTTTTTTTTCTAGTTGCCCTTGTTTAGATGAAGATCTGTTGGTTTTTTTTGGATTTATCCTCCAATTTGCGACTATTCACCCGGCCCGGATGGGCATGGAATCCCTGAAAAACTCCTTATTTCCCCGGAATAAACGCAGACGCATTATTCCGGAAGCACGTTCGACCGGCAGTTTCCCGCTGATCCTTCAACGACGAACAGCGGTGCCAACACAATTGCACCAGCATTGTTTAGTATCTTCCTGGTTTTTGTTTCCTACGTAAAATACATCAATTTTTTTTTTACTTTAATCGAATTCATTATGACCATGAATTGATAAAATTAAAGTGCGTGATCGTTACTTCTCAAAAAATGTATATCATTGCTTGTTTTTCTATAATATAGCATGTGCTCAAGCGGCTATAGTGGCAGCACTGTTCGTCGTTAAACTTCGAACGGCCGGCCGGACGTAATTCCGGAATAATATGTACGTCGGCGTTTATTCCGGGGATTGTACTTACGAGTCTTTTTTCGCGGTTTTCATGTCTTACCAGGCCAGATTTTTCTCTGCTGAAAATATTAAGAAAAATATAAATAATAAAAAGTAAAACATATTTTGAGTTTCGTAGCGCCTACAATCCGCAATTCCGCAAAACATAAATCTTAATATAATGAGGTACGACAACATCGGCATTTCACGGTAACTGTTGACAATTTGAATCGAAAATATAAGAATTTCTAATGTTTACGTCTCTGGGAAGGTATTTCATCAAAACGACACCAGCGCCCTCTTTCTTGGTTAGGTGTTTTCTTGGGTATTTTGGTAAAATACCGTTTGGGGAAGTAGCCCACCTCCAACATTTTCCGTGAATCACTCAGAATTCCCTGTGCTGCGGAGATTTACTGTGTCGCGCGTGTATTTTCCTGTGTTGCGCACGCGTTTTAGGTTTGGTCCCTAACGGCGTTCCATAGGATCTTGGTCGGATGCCCGGATGCCAGACCATAGATCAAAAAATGAGATGTGTAAACAGTGTGTAAATCAGTGAAATCAGTTGTTTTTTCTTGTGTTCAAGCACTTCAAGTCTATCCTCTATCGGCTCAAAACTCATTGGTAGCTCCCAGCAGCTAGTGTCTTCTGCAGTGTTTTCCGTTGTGTTCAATTTCTCTTCTGTGATATGCTGATATCTTTCACGTGCGCTTACTAATCGTTCCCAACTTACTGGTCTTGACCATTGTTTTGCCTGGTTTCTTTGAAAGTTTTCGATCGAGCAGCGGTAATGTTAGAACTGTCATCGTCAGTGTACTTATTTACTCTACGCTGAAGTCTCTCATTTCTTTAATAATAATTTAGAACCAAAATCATGGCCTCGACAAACTGGATGATCCGCGGGAGACATTTTAGGACCAGAGCTCTAAGATGTTAGTTTCTGCTTTTCTCATATTAACTTAGTTGGTATTTGTAATCCCTCCTTTGCTGAATTTCTTAACCTCCTAGGGGATATTTTGCATCGGGGATGTGCTTAAACATTCTTTCGGCTAGTCCTACTAACCTAGCCAAAGTGAAATCTATCATTTAACAGTTGGTAATACTCGACGGCCGATTACTTCTCTCCCACAAAGGGGGGAAAAAAACGCATGCTAAAATTCAATTTTTATTCATTCAGAGATTTTCTGTTTTTTATCATCTCTCCTCTATCCAAGCATAGTTTTATATTGGGCTGAAGAATTTAAGTACTGATTGAATATATCATGTAACGGCATGTTTTCCGAAGTTTGTATTTCTTGTGCAAGGTTTGGTGAGCAAATCCAGTCAAATTGATGGAGTCATTTCTGCATTTCTAGAACAGAGTTATCGTATGTTGAGACAAATGTCAATCTTTGATTAGCTCCAAATCAGCAAGACCCAATAGGTCAATACATGCAGCCAGATGGCACCACTAAACGATACAGAAACTGTAGATAGGCGATGGTCCATGAAAAAACGTAATGCACACGAAGCGGTAAGTAGTTCGATTGGTGGATGGGGAGAGAAACTGTCCAATTGCATTTCTCTTTATACCCTCAATTAAATTGGATCTTACGGGAGTTTTTACAGTAGATAATTTTGCGCTAAAATTTCTATCGTAAACTCAATTGAAGAATTGGTAGGTTTCATATCTGGACACAGATTTTCAAACCGTTTGTTTTTAATCTAATGGATGTCCTTATTCAGCAGCAGCCCTATAAGAGGCCATGGAAACTGCTTGTCTTTGTCCCAACCTAATTGTCGCTCCTGTTGTGTTACAAAATTCACCGTTGGCGTAGCATAGTGTCACCCTTAGGAAAAAAGTTCCAGGGGTGGTAGGTGACTTTTGGATAACCCTGTATGTTGGCCCAAAGCAAAAAACCAATTTGTTTACTCTAATCAAGGTTTCAGTATGAATCATAGTAAGTCATGTCATAATTTTATTTTTTCTGATTTCAGATCGAACCGACAATGATGAAGATAAAATAAAAATTAATCTTAACAGAGGTAAAACCTTTTTGTTGCTCTTCTTACACCTGTATGTACAAGTTGTTCTGTATATCTGTGAAGAGTGCGTTTAGTTTCTTTGAGTTCCTTATCATGCTGATCCAACAGGGTCTTATATTTACCGAATTTCTCCAGCAATGCTGAGAAATAAGCGTCTGTTGACAGACATTGAGCCTACCTCCCTCAAAACCCTGCAATATTGCCAAATTGAAATACTATTTTCATGTATATCACTCGGGCCCATATAGAAGAAAAACCCCACCGTAACATTACTGTAACCTTGCCGTGGAAATGAGGTAAAGCTACCGGAAATGTTACCGCAGCAACGTTTCCGGCAATACCGGATGCTTACACGACGGCAGCGTTGCCGTAACGATACGGCACGAGATTGGCCAACCCCTTTCCTAAGAATTGTTTCCGCATGAGTGCTACGACAACATTGAGGTAACCTTACCGCGAGTGCCACTATCGCGTCCGTTACTTTCTGCGGCGACGCTTCCGCAACGGTGTGGGAGATCCCTTATGAAACCGTCCCATGGGATTTTTAAAAATGAATCCCCACCGGAAATTGGCCCGGGGTTTTTCCCCATGGGGGAAGTTGAATTCCCCATGGGGACTTTTTACCCCTTGGGCCATTATTGATCCCATGGGGAAAAACCCCGGGCCAATTTCCGGGGGGGGGAGGGGGATATTAATTTATTATTTATAATTTCTAAAACCGCGAAAAATAAGGTGCACGAGACTTTGGTAGGCACAGTTATTGTTATTTACGGGTAGAATTTTTTTTGCCTAAGTCGGGAATTGAACCTGAACCCTACCCAACCGAAGACGAGAATCGTACCTACTGTGCTATGCCGAGAACTTGAACGGGGAGACGAAAAACCCGCATTTAGCTTCCAATCGAACGGGTAGCCAGGATATCTCGACCAATTTACAAAGATTTGTTCGATTTTTATTTCAATGCATTATTTTAAGTCATTTTATTCTTTCACTTCATTATATTATTTTACGTCATTTGTTTTATTTTATTTTGTTTTTTTAGATTGATTTTCTTTAGACTTCAGGTATTTTATTTATTCAATTTATATTATCAATTTACTTAATTTTATTTTTTTATTTTATTTATTTACTTTATTTTATTAATTTACTTCATTTTATTTTTTTAGGTATGTGCTTCGTTTTATTTTTTTTACTCAATAGGGATGAAAGCAATCGTTCCTCCAATTTTGTTATAATCAGCATTTCCTTACTCTCTCTGAAATAAGAAAAATGATGAAGGCCTTTAATAAAAACGATTAGCTTACAAAGGAGGGAAAGTGGATAGAATGCCTAGTCAAATTCGAAACACACATTATTCCCTTATTATGCAGTTTAAGCAGGAGATTCGTCACCGCAACAACCCCATCGACCCCGAAAAGTCTGCCTGCTGAGTTTTCAAGAGCTGTTCCGTGAGAATTTGCCTGTCAGGTTCCCAGCAGACCCTCAGGAATTTCTTAAGTTCTCTATTCTACTCTCTTAAGTTGCCCTACGAGCCTTGGTCGTTATCCTATCAGTTCCCACGGGGTCCCCTATGGTCCCCATTGATCCTCACAGGGTCTCCATCCATCCCCATGAGGTCCCCATCCATCCGCAAGGTACACTCTACTACAGGTATGGACAAACGGGGTGCCGAAGTGGCAGCGCTGAGAAAATCGGCGATCGAGTGACGTATGAAGTTGTACCGTCCATTTGCCGCGCAGGTCTTCGCAGTCGTACTCTCGATGCTGTCAAATCTACGCGTTTTGACGACTTTCCAAAATTCCATTTGTCCATACCTGTAGTAGAGTGTACCTTGATCCATCCGCATGAATTTCCCGTCGTTCCCTATGAGGATGTTCCATACATTGGTTGCCCTTTACCCCTAGCGCGTCAAGGTTGCCGTAAGGTTAGGTGACAAAGGGTTAACGGAAACACTGTCATGGAACGCTTGCGCCAACGTTACATTAGAAATGCTTGTAATGAGGTGTTCATGGTAAGGCTTCCATAACCCTTTGACGGAAAGGATGGCTAATTTAATTTCGCGGAAAGGTTACGGTAATGTTTCCTTAAAAGCTCTTCAGCAATTACTTCTGCGTCAAAGTCAAGGAAACCATTTTGTAAGCTTGTCGCGGATTTATGGGTCTTCCACACATTCCGCACGAACGTTTCGGAAAGGTTTTGTCAACCTATTTGCTGCAACGCTATCGCGGATGGTGTGCGGCACGGTTCATGACAACGTTGCCGTAAGGCTGGGTTCAATATAGGGCTTTTTTTTTATCGCGGATCAGGGTGGATCGCAGTGGAACGCACTGGATCGGAATCCTGAGCGATCCGGACCGATCCAAGTGTTTCAAGTGATAAAAAAATCCAAACTTGGAATTTGGTTCGATTTGTTATTGTTTTGATTTTTTGGGGACGGCAACTTCCGTGCATTAGGTTAGGATCACAGTGGATCGCGAGCTCGCCCCACCTCGGAAGAGCGATCCAGCGTTCCACCCTGATCCACCTGGAACGCTTGGATCACGCTGAGGAACGGAATAATAAAATACCGATGTTCATCGCGTTCCACTGCGATCCGCATAAAAAAAAAGCTCTTATGGGGGACTATTGCAGGCCTCCACAGACACCTTCACATTTTGAAGGGAAATTACATCAGGAATGCGGAATATCATATCAACTGGCTAAGATCACGCCAAATGAATCTACGCACCATTATTCTGCCGGATTCTGCCGGAGTTCAATCGTCGACATCGGCAAAAGTCGAATTCGAAAGAAGGTCAGTCGTCGATTCGGAGCCAACGGATCGAATGGTTCCGCGACATCTTGAACGTTCGCCGAAACGAGTTGGTTTTGATATTGTTATTCTAACCCCCAAAAAATATCTTCCATGCCAATAGATGTGCGCCACGTGTGCGATGCAAGATGCCACCATGGCATAATCTCTTCATTTTGGTCCATAGAATGAGAAAATATTCGGTGGACTTTCCGATTTTGATGCCAAGGCACCGAAAACAAGATGGCGGCTGAATTTTGAAATTTTAGTAAAACGGCACAAAGCATCGAGAGAGGTGTCGATTCTCGTGCTTTTTGGGTCGTAGATTCACGTGCACACGGGACATAATTTTCGAACACACGCCCCCTGACTGTATGTGATCAATCGCCTTCTCCCGTCATTTTTGAGCATTTCCGGCCGGTTTCCATTTCCGGATAGATCCGTGACCCATGAATCACGTTAGTAAGTGTTTAGTACTCGGAAGTATACACCTTAGGGTTGAAGTAGAGAGAGAAAATTGGAAATTGCAGTGACTTTTCATGAAATACATTGGTTACCATGTGAAAACTCGTCTTTTTGCGTCAATTTTGAGCATTTTCGGTCGGTTTCCTGTTTCCATCAGGCCGTTAATCGATTGGTTAAAGTATAGAAGTGTTAATAGTCTGACCTTGTACAGGGTGTTTCAGACCACCCGTACCAGGCCTTTTTCTCGGTTGGTATAGGTCGCACGAAGTCGGAGACCGCGGGGTTGAATAGGGAATTGACCCCAAGGAATCCGAATTTCGTGGTCCCGAAACCCCCCCACCCCCCCTTGGGGGGTAACGGGGGGGGTCACGATGCTAAAAGTCACGGTTCCCGACCGAATTGCGGATAGATCGCATCAGAATTGAAAAGCACGGAAAATTTCTTGTGAAATTGACCCCTAAAAATCCAAAATCGGACCATCCAAGGCCCAAAAATGACCCCCTAAAGAGGGTACCCCCCTCCATAATTTCTCTTTGGTCTCAAAATTGACGTAAATTCTCCAGAAAAAGACGGTTTCCTAGGTAATCGACCTCGAGAAATCCAAATTTCATGGTCCCGAAGCTCCTCTAGCTTCCCTTGGGGGGGTAAACGGGGGGCCCAATTTTAAAAATCGGGGCTCCTTTCCGAATCGCAAACTGATTGCATCCAAATTGAGGAGCAGAACACATTTACATCTTAAGTGACTCCTAAAAGTCCTAATAGACCACCTGAACGGCAGAAAGTAACTCCCTGAGGAGGGGGGCTTCGCCCCCGCCAAAAATTTCTCAAGATTCCTCTTTGGTCGCAAAATTGACGTCGATTCTCCAGAAAAAGACGGTCTCCCATGTAATCGACCCCGAGGACTCTAAATTTCATGTTCCTTGAGCTCCTCGGGGTCGATTACATGGGAGACCGTCTTTTTCTGGAGAATCGACGTCAATTTTGCGACCAAAGAGGAATCTTGAGAAATTTTTGGCGGGGGCGAAGCCCCCCTCCTCAGGGAGTTACTTTCTGCCGTTCAGGTGGTCTATTAGGACTTTTAGGAGTCACTTAAGATGTAAATGTGTTCTGCTCCTCAATTTGGATGCAATCAGTTTGCGATTCGGAAAGGAGCCCCGATTTTTAAAATTGGGCCCCCCGTTTACCCCCCCAAGGGAAGCTAGAGGAGCTTCGGGACCATGAAATTTGGATTTCTCGAGGTCGATTACCTAGGAAACCGTCTTTTTCTGGAGAATTTACGTCAATTTTGAGACCAAAGAGAAATTATGGAGGGGGGTACCCTCTTTAGGGGGTCATTTTTGGGCCTTGGATGGTCCGATTTTGGATTTTTAGGGGTCAATTTCACAAGAAATTTTCCGTGCTTTTCAATTCTGATGCGATCTATCCGCAATTCGGTCGGGAACCGTGACTTTTAGCATCGTGACCCCCCCTTTACCCCCCAAGGGGGGGTGGGGGGTTTCGGGACCACGAAATTCGGATTCCTTGGGGTCAATTCCCTATTCAACCCCGCGGTCTCCGACTTCGTACGACCTATACCAACCGAGAAAAAGGCCTGGTACGGGTGGTCTGAAACACCCTGTACATCCTAGAGTTGAACTGGGAAAAAATTATCAATAATTGAAGTTTTAATTTTCGATGTATTTGAATTAACGTATAAATAATCGTCTATTTGACCAATTTTAGATCTTTCTTGGCTTATTTGAAT